TAGTGTCAGGGGTTTTTTTTTGGTTTTTTTTTTTGGAAAAATTCATGATAACGATTCAGATTTTCGTTTTTGACGAACAGGCGAAAATAAATTTTAAGTTTATTTAAGAAAAAAAAAAATTAATTTACCCAAGGACAATATTTTATCCGAATTTTGAAATCAAATTGTAGTAGTGCTTTACGTGTTAGGATCGTTCAAGCATAAAACGTCGTACTAATCATTTAAATTTTCTTCATTAACGACCAGCCCGCTTAACTCGCAAAGTTTGACGCTGTAACGCATCCGTTATTATGACGGTATGCAGATTGCAATGTTTTTCAACGGTGTAAACGAGAAAACGCAATATCGCGCAAACCTTCTGTATTTATCATTTTCCGGAGGCCATAACGTAATACAAGAGCATAATAATACAACCCGACGATAAATGCCCTTCGCTTACAAGTACTTAAGTATTTCATCTTGTGGCAATTGTCAAGACGCTTTATGAAAAAGTCCCACGATAACCGCGAGCAATAACGGTGCTGCAACCTGGTACCATAAAGTGCTTTAAAAAAAGCATTTAAATCGCGCGTAATTTCAAAATATGCCTAAAACAAACGAGTAAGAAGGGTACGAAAAATTTTCGAAAAAATGTTACAAGCGACCATCTTGATCAAAAATTTAAAAAAAAAAAAAAAAAAAAAACTTGGACAACGAGCAATCAAACGTTTTTATCCGTACCAAGTAAAAGTCGCGAAGAAACTTCATATAATATCAATGTAAAACACAATTGCAGAGACGCGACTGTGAGGGCTGTCAAGAACCGTTGCGGCATTGCCGGGGCATCTTGATGCTCCGAACGGTAACGGGACCCAAGTCAAGGATCGACCTCTCGACCCGAATAAAAAATAATGGCGCGCGAAGTCCGATACGCTTCCGCAATAATTAATCCTTCGATAATCGCAAGTTGCCAGAACGATCCATTACCATAAATCTCATTAGGGTAGACGAGGATATTGTAAGATCATTCCAAAAATTGTATACGTATCTACGTATTAAAATGTATATGCACAGCACGCACAACCAGATTGGGACAATTTTCACATGCTCAATGAAGCCAACGTACAACATGCCCACATAAAGGGTGGCGAAAAATCGCAAGCGTCAATAATAATACGAAGCACCGTATACGGTATCCCAATAAAAATAATAAGATAAATAAAAAAAATTTACAATGATCATACATCGTTTACGATTGAAATTCCAAAAGGATTCCGTGAAGGAATATTTATGTACGAAGAACTCTTAAGGGAGATTCTGCAGTATTATGATTATTATTATCATCATTAAATTTACTATTCTCAGTCAAACCCGCTCGCGGGACTACTCGCCGATACGTATCGAACGCGGATGATCGTTTTTTTGGATATAGATTATTTATTGACAATTTTCAAAATCAATTTATTCAATGGTCATCTGCCAGTTTCATGAGGCGACAAAACAGCGAGTGGATTAGAATTTTTTTTCTAGCCCGATAAAAAAAGTGGACCACTTATCGAAAATTTATAGGGGAAGCCCCGGGGTCTTGTTATTTCGTGTCACGGCGTTGACTCGATTCACCTTTGTATCGCGGGTACCTGCTGATCTACAGGCACCGGGTGGTTGAGTTCTATATTGATTGGACCTTCGTATTCTCGACTCTCGGCGAATTATTGTTATCTAATCTAACACCAATGACTAGGGTACCGTCAATCGATCGCCACTGTCGGGTAGGTTGAGATGGCGTCGTGCGTTTATCGTTAATCGGCTAGCTTCGAGCTGACGATACGAGGACTTTTGGTTGAAAAAAAAAAAGAAAAAAAGAAAAGCCAGTAGCTTTTGGGAAGTTAAACGTATCGCGATCGATGAGTGCGGCATTTAATCAGCAGCGATAAGTGACGTCACGTACACTTGGAATAACAAGAGGAAGTCACCGAAATAATATACAGTCAATAAAGTAGCGAACTCCGAGGATCCAGGGGACTCTTATACATTGAAATCCATACGAGGAAGGCCCCTTTAAAATAACACGTGCTTCTTACGAATGGACTGTGTATCTTGCATCGAGTATCTTATCAATTGACAACGCGAAACACAAATTCGAACTGCTTAAAGGCGATCGTTAAATTGGCTAGTAAAGTGTACACTTAAACTTTTCCTGCTAATACGATCCTCGGGAACGTAGTATCAATTAACGTTACGTTCGCGCAGGAGTTAAATTAGACACAGCCTCTCGTCTCGGTCCAGTGAAATTTCGACGTACAAGAAAATTACGAAATATTCCCTATAGCAATATCATAGAATTTTAATTGATACTCTGTACCATGTATCTCGATTCTTCTGCTTTGATATACATGGTAAATAAATAACATATACATACACGTCTGTAATGCCACAGAGAAAGAGAGAGAGAGAGAGAGAGAGAGAGAGAGAGAGAGAGAGAGAGAAACAAAAGAAAATCTATAACACAGTTATACCTATATCAATTTCGCTCGTCCAATGTCGCACAAAAGGCAGAGAAGAACGTTCTAATCGAGAAAGAGTCGACGGGATTCGCCGTGGAATTCTCGCAGCGCAGTCTCGCACGGCGTCGCCCGTTAATTAAAGTTCTTCGTCGTAAATGGGCTTCCGCGGCGATGACCAGTTTCCAGTAAGGCGCGAGTAACGTGTAAAAGTATAACGAAAATCCATCAGCGAATCCAATGTTTTTTATATTACATAGAGAGATAGATAGATAGCCAGGTTAGGTAGGGTAGGCCAGAGTGTAAGGCGAGGGGAGGATGGGTCGACGGAACGACGATCGAGAAATGGAGGGGGGTCGGGGGAGCACGTCGGGCGATGGCAACGAGCGGGAGGGGGGAGGTGGACAGTGACGAGCGGTAGGTAGGTCCCACAAAATAAACTGAAACCATCCCTGTTCTCATCCCAGGTCGCTCATTCTGCCAGCGTCGTCCAACCCCCCCCCTTCCCCCCCCCCAACCGC